ACACAGCACGGTGAAGGGTTTCAATGGGCCCCTGACCATCCAGGAAATGACTTAGTGAGAAGAACCAAACTGTGTGTCCCTAGCCAGCTCTGCACGGAGCAGGGTCTGAGAGCCAGAGCACCAGGAGAAAACTTTAGGTTCTTTTAAGACTCAAGAGCCAGAGCAGCCGGTCCCGGATTTGCTTGGTCCTCACGCCGTAGATGACGGGGTTTAGCATGGGGGGCACCAAGAGGTAAATGTTGGCAAAGAAAATGTGGAAAGGCAGGGCCACGCTGTGGCCAAACCGGTGCATGAGAGAAGTGAAGATCATTGGGATGTAAAATGTTACGATGGCGCAGAGGTGGGAGCTGCAAGTCCCAAAAGTCTTGAGCCGGGCGTCCTTCATAGGGAGTCTGAAGATGGCCCTGAGGATCAGGGTATAGGACATGGCAATGAAAATCACATCCAGTCCATGGACACCGAGGAGTTACTGATGGTAATGTCAGCGCAGGCCAACTTCACCACGGCCATGTGCTCGCAGTATACATGGGAGATTATATTGGTTCTGCAATATGGCCGCAGACTTGCGAAGATGGGATAGGGCATTACAAGCACGCTGCCACGAAGCACCATGGCCAGGCCAGTCTTGACCACCATGGTGTTTGTCAGGATGGTGGAATGTCTCAGGGGATCACAGATGGCCACGTAGCGATCAAATGCCATGGCCACAAAGATCCCAGACTCTGTTGATGAAACACAATGAATGAAGAACATCTGGGTGAGGCAGGCACTGAAATTGATTGCCCTAGAATTGAACCAGAAGATGCTCAGCATTTTGGGAAGGACGGACGTAGAGAGGACTAAGTCGATGACGGCCAGCATGCAGAGGAAATAGTACATGGGCTCATGGAGGCTCGGCTCTGTTTTCACAATGAACAGGATGGTGATGTTCCCCAAGATGGCTATGATGTACATGGCACAGAAGGGGATGGAGATCCAGACATGGGCTGTCTCCAGGCCAGGAATTGGAGGGGTTGGTGAAGATGGTTGTGTTGGAATCTGACATGGAGGCAGCGAGACTGGGTCCAAATCTGAGGCAGAACAAAGTCTCCTGCATGTACCGTACGTTTCTCTGACTTCCTGTGTGTCCCTAGAGTCTCAGGTGATAGTTACCGTAGAAATACCTGTATGGGAAGACAATGTTAATAGGAGATTCTACAAACTGCGGGACATTCTCATGGGGTAAGCAGAATGATTGCTCCTCACACACTTAAAACGGCTATTTTCATTATTAAGAAAAATGAATAATAAAAAACTGACCCTAAGAATTCCATGTTTGATAGCACTTCATGAGCCAATAGATACTGCTGTTTATGACCCATTGTTCCCTAATAACTTGTATTCCTGGCTAGAGACTCCATCCTGTAGGGAGTTCCCCATTCCTTTGGTTGCTTAAAATCAGAGTGAAACAAAAATCAAAATGTCTGTCACCACGTAGAATCATAGAACGATACAGTACAAAAGCTGGAAGGTAATTTGAGGGGTCATCACGTCCATTCCTCTGCTTTTGTGAAAGAGCCAAGCTCTGTCGACCCTGTTCTTAAACATCTCCAGTGATAGAGATTCCACCATCTCCCCAGGCAACTTATTTCAGTGTTTAACCACCGTGACAATTTGGAAGACTTTTTTATGTCCAACCTTGAGTTCCCGAGTTGCAATGTAAGCCCATTGCTTCTTGTCCTGTCACCGCAGGCTAAGGAGAAAAAATGTTTTTCCCTTTTCCCCGCGACAACACCCTTTTAGGTACTTGAACACTGCTATCATATCCCCTTTCATTCAAACTTAAAACCAAAAACTTTCAGTCTTTCTTCATAGCTCATGTTTTCTAGACCTTTAAAAATTTTTGATGCTCTACTCTGGACCTTTACCAGTTTGTACATATGTTTCTTGTAATGTGGTGCCCAGAACTGGACACAATACTCCAGTTAAGACCGTAATCAGCACAGAGTAGAGGGAAAAAATTACAGCCTGTTAATCAATCCCAGAATGGTGTTTGCATGCTTTTTTTTTTTGCTTTTGCTTTTTTTTTTTGCAACAGTGTCAAACACTTGGCTCATATTTAGATTGTGGTCCACTGTGACCCTTAGATCCCTTCCTAGACAGTCACTTCCCATTCTGTATGTGTGAAATGGATTGCTCCTTCCTTAGGCTCTGCCGGGGCGGGGGGAGATACACAAATTGCAAACCACAATTGCGTACCTTTTTCTGCTTGTTTTTTCAGAAGAGGCTTTTCCAACACTGGGCCAAATTTTGGAAAAACCTCCTCTTTCAGAACATCCCTTATTCCTCATAAAATGAGGAATACAGGGATGCCGAAAGAACACGCCTGCTTTCTTGGAAACTGTTCCGAAAAAGCGGACGTGTTCCCTGGACATGGCCAAGTTTTTCCAGGATACCTTCAGTATCCTGGAAAAACTCCGCAGTCTAGACATAGCTTAAATGGAGAACTTTGCATTTGTGCCTGTTGAATTTCATCCCATGTACTGCAAGATCATTTAGAATTTTGATCTTATCCTCCAAAGCACTCGCAGCCCTTCCCAGCTTAGTATCAACTGCAGGCTTTATAAGCATACTCTGTGCCATTATCTACATGGTTGATGAAAATATTGAGCAGAACTGGTCCCACAATTGATTCCTGCAGAACCCCACTTCACTGATATCTACTCTCTGAGAACTATTATCCAACAAGCTATGCACCCAAATCATTATAGTCCATTTACGTTGTATTTCTTTGGTTTGTTGATAAGGAGGTCATGCAAGACTGTATCAAATGCCTTACTAAAGTCTAGGTATACCACGTCCACCTTCTCCCTTATCCACAAAGCTTGTTATCTTGTCAAAGAAAGGTATCGGATTAGTTTGACACGATTTGTTCTTTATAAGTCTATGATGACTGTTACCGTTCACCTTATTATCTTCCATATGTTTGCAGATGAATTCCTTCATTACCTGCTCCATTATCTTCCCTGGCACAGAAATTAAAATGGCTGATCTGTAGTTTCATGGGTTACCTTAATTCCCTTTTTATAGATGGACACAATATTTGCCCCCTTTCAGTCTTTTGCAATCTGTTTTGCCTTCCATCACTTTTCAAAAATGACAGCTAATGACTCTGATACCTCCTCTATCAACTCCTTGAGTATTCTAGGATGCATTTCATCTGGCCCTGGTGACTTGAAGACATCTAACTTTCCTAAGTCATTTTTAACTTGTTCTTTTATTATTATTATTATTTTAACTTCCAAACTGACCCCATTCCCACTAGCATTCTGTCCCCACCAACCTTTTTGGTGCAAATAAAAAGAAAAGAGTCATTAAGCACCTCTGCCATTTCCACATTTCTCCCTCTCCACTAAGCAATGGGCTTCCCCTGTCCTTGGTCATCTTCTTGCCTGCAATGTACTTGTAGAATGTTTTCTTGTTCCTAATTATGTGTCTAGTGAGGCTGAGTTTGTTTCGTGGCATCACCTTTCTAATTTTGCCGCTACACACTTGTGTTATTTTGCTTTGGCCTAATTTCCACTTTTTATAGGACTCCTTTTTGGTTTTTAGATCATGTAAGATTTCCTGGCTAAGCCAGGGTGGTCTCTTGCCAGACTTCCTATCTCACCTGTGCAGTGAAATAGTTTTGCTTTTGAGCCTTTAATAACGCCAAATCTCTTCAGTTGTTTTTTCCTCTTCGTCTTGCTTCCCATGAGAACCTTACCTACCAGCCCCTATGTATGCGTGCATGGCTTTGAGGGGGCGGGAGTTAATATTCATCCTTGGTATTTGGAGTTTGTTTCGTGCCATCACCTTTTAATTTTCCCCCTAATTTCCACTTTTTATGGGACTACTTTTGGATTATAGATCGTTCAAGATCTCCTGATTAAGCCAAAGTGGTCTCTAGCCATACTCCCTGTCTTTCCTATGCCGTGCAATGATATGATAGGGGGAAACACCCCACCTAGAACAGACCTCAGAGGAAAGATCTGAGCATCATTGATACCAAATCCAGGAAACACCATTTGCGTTAGTGGCAACAACAAGGAAAAGGAGAGGGCTGGAGAGCAACCTGCTCTGGATATGTGCTTCGTTTTAGTCCCCTGTCTGTGGAAAAAATGCAGGAAATATAAAGAGGAGCTGTGAGACAGGCTAGGACCATGGGGGCGCTGCTGTAGACTGAAAGACTGTGGAATCTGGGATTGTTTAGAGGAATGTCAAAGAAAAGGTCTTTGATAAAGGAGATTATGAAGCTGATTACACACCGACTGCCAAAGGGAGAACAGTTCCCAGGAAGGAATTTCTATAGCCACTTAAGTATCAGAGGGGTAGCCGTGTTAGAAATTTCCACTACATGCATCTGACGAAGTGGGTCTTTGCCCACGAAAGCTTGTGCTCCTACACTTCAGTTAGTCTATAAGGTGCCACAGGACTCCTCGCCGCTATAGCCACTTAGTGCTTCAGAAGGCTAGTTCCCAAAAGCGAAGGGAAATTATCAGAAAAACGTATTCAGAGGAAAAAAAATCAGCTGATTTCTTGGAGACATTTGTTTTCATAGTAGAAGACACCACAATGAGGGAGGTCACACAACATGGACTACAACATGTCAAACTGCCTGAGCTCAGGAAAGCTGTGGTCAATGGGTGACTGTCAGCGAACAGGGCTGTTTCTAGCGGGGCTCTGCAGGGATCAGTTCCAGGCCTGGTGCGAGTCAGTATTCTCACCAGTGACCTGGAAGGAAAGAAAATCCCTGCCGGTAACACTTGTGGCTGACCCCAAAGTGGACAGAGTTCACGGTGATCCTCTCGGAACAGGGACTGCAGGACTCACCCCCAGACCCGGGCACTGTGCTATGGAACGCGGGGACCCCGAAAAGGATTCACGGGACATAGTGGGCTGATTGTGAGCCTCCAGTGCGATGCTGGGGCCAGAAGGGCTGATGTGATGCTGGCAGGCACAAAAAGGGGAATGGTGAGTTTGAAGAGGGGAAGGATTCCTGCCCTCGTGCTGTGTGCACCGGAGTTTAGATTGACACAGCCTCTGGGGGTGGATTTTTTTTTCTATTGACAGAAAAGAAAATGCAGTTTGTGGTTGGATTAACAGGGGCATGGAGTGGGAGGAGCTGATAGTATCCCCCTATTCAATGCATCTTAGGCCTCATCAAGGGTGCATCTAGACTGGCAAGATTTTGTACAAAAGTGGCCACTTTTGTGCAAAATCTTGCCGCCTGTCTACACTGGCCACGAGTATTTGTGCAAGAACACTGACTTTGTACTGCACAAAATCAGTGGTTGTTGCTCAAATACTCCGACGCTCCCGCTCAGGGATAAACCCTCTTGCGCAAGTTCATTTCTTGCGCAAGAAAGCCCAAGGGCTAAAATGGCCATTGGAGCGTTCTTGCACAAGAGAGCGTCTACACTGGCATGGATGCTTTTGCGCAAAAGCAAATCTTTTGCGCAAAGGCACATGCCAGTATAAAGGCTTTCTTGCGCAAATACTTTTACCGGAAAAACTTTTCCATTAAAAGTATTTGTGCAAAATCATGCCAGTCTAGACGCAGCCCTGGAGAACTGCATCCAATTTAAGTCATCCATTCCTAGGAAGGTTGCAAGAGTTCTGGAAATGATCCAGAGGCTCAGGAGAAAGACGATCCAAGGGATGGAGTACAGAGCATATGAGCAGACAAAGGAACCGAAAATGTTAAGTTTGGAAATAGACTGAAAAGGGCACACGACACTGTTCATCACATACTTGAAAACTGCCGTGGAAAACAAAAAGACGGAGAGAAGTTGCTGTGTCTTGCCGCAGAGAGCTGAGTAAGAGCTAACGGGTTCAAAACAACATTTGCAGAGTTAGAAGAAGTCTCAGGAAAATTGCTACCTGGAAGAACAGGAGGACAAAGGAAGAGATGCCTGGGCAGGATTCCCAAAGAAGGATCACCTCTCCTGGAAGGTACAGACACAGCAAATCTTGCATCT